ACTTTTATTTCAACCGATAGCTTCCCCCCACTCTCTTCTAAGCGGAGGAGAATCGGAGATTCCATTGGAGCAGATGATTGGATTTTCAGAGCTACGACCAGTGTACTGCGTGGATTAATCGAGAATCGTTGAGTCCTCCTTGCATCTGTTCATTATTCGTTCGACATCCATGGGAACGAGCGTTGGGATATTGCGGCCGCAGAGTAGAGAGCGGTGCAGATCTCGTCTCCGGCGAGCAACCGTGGCGACTCTCTTTTCCTCATACTTGCGATGGGTGCAGACCTCGTCTCTGGTGAGCAATCATATGCGATGATGTCCAGGATGATTCAAAGGTTCATATGAATTTGAGGTTATAATCAAAATCAAATCATTTGAGTTAAAAATTGATGGCTCTGCCATTCTCATTTGTGAAGTAAGCATGGAATCACATCTATTTTGAATCTTGATTTGGTTAGAGTTGCTTGATTAAAGGATTATATTCTCAATATTATTTCTAGAAACAGGTTATGCACTAGATTTGAGCTGAATAATACTTTCCTCTAAGGTTAGCTTGGATGAATAGTTTCAGGGGAAAGATACGAATAACTCGTGATTGAAATGCCATGAGATAATTTCTTATCTCAACTATTCATCCAAGCTGATTTTTGTTTAATAAAATAAGAGATTCCAAACACTGGAAAAATTTGTGGTTGGTTTCATCCATGAAATTTCCAGAAGGAATCTTGTACATGGAGGAATTAGGTTCCAGAAACATTACAGATGGTAAAAATGATGTTGAATCAAGAAAGCTTTGGTATGTTGGGAAAGCTGCCACTCTTTTTTTTTGCAAGTTTCTTCTTGACTAGCAGTTGAGACTTGAGAAAGTTGCAAGAAAATGAGAGACGAGCAACAAATAAATTTGTCTGTAGAAATCTAAGTGTTCAGGTTTTTATATAGGCTAAGTGGCAGCTGGGTGGGAGAGAAAAGAAGACAACAAATATACTTCTATTTGCCTAGTGCCTACATGTCTATTTGCTTGGTGCCTACATGTTTATTTCAAAAAAATTAATTTAATGGTAAACACCTTTTCTGTACCTGAAGGAAATCGTTGATAGGTGTGTTGCTCGTGTTGCAGCCAAGCTGAAAATGATTGATGCGTTGCTCGTCTTTGCAGCCAAGTTAGAAATGATGGATTCATGTTCTGGTATTGAGAACGGGTTTGGTTATATATATTATGATTACAGATGCTGAGGACAAAGATCTTAAATCTCGGAAGAGTATCCTAATAGAACCTACAAATGATAACTCTAACATTGGGTTGACATTCATGGCAGCAACTAAGAGATCCAGACTTATCATCATTGTGCCTGCTTCCACAAGGCACACCTACATTAGTGTCAGTACGAGTGAGTGAGTGACATATAGGTCTTGAAGAAATAATAAGAAGCAAAGCCAAATAGTATAATAAATAAATGTAGTAAATTGGAATAATAGATTGAATTGAATATTTATTGTGATACTCTTATATATTATTTTATGTTGCTTTTTGTTGCATTGCATGTATTGCATTTTGTTGCATTGTGTTGCACTGCATGTATTGCATTTTGTTGCATATTGTTACTCTTTGTTGCTTTTTGTTGCATATTGTTACTCTTTGTTGCTTTTTGTTGCATATTTTTACTCTTTGTTACTTTTTGTTGCATATTGTTACTCTTTGTTGCATTGTGTTTCTTATGATTTTTTATTGTTGATTTTGTTTTTGTTGTTGTTTATTTAGATTTCTATATTTTTCTACATCTTTAAAATAGAAATATCTATGCATGTTTAGTCAAAATCATTTAGATACAAACACCTAAAATGTTTACTTTCGATTTATGAATACGAAAAGCAACCAGAAACATAAAAAAACAATAAAAAACAAAAATTTCAGAATTATCAACAAATAGATACACAAAGATATCATAAGAAACAAAAACTAACAATAAAGTGATAAAAGTACTAATTAAAAATTTAAGGACTTGAAAAATTACATTAGACAATTCATATTTTTATTTTTATTTTGAATACGTATTTTTTTTTCAAGTTCATCATTTTAATTTATGATATATTAACTCTATGAGTTTATTTTAATTTTACACACTTTAAAGTTACATTAATTTTCTGATTATTTTTATAATTTTGGTTTATGTATTTTACTAGAAAAATTATGTCAATGTATTTTTATTATATAAATCTGAATTTTTTTTCCTCGGTTTTTACACTTTTATATATTTATTTGAATTTTTATTATTTAATCTAGCTTTTATTCTAAAACTTTGGCTCGTTCTAATGTTCTTAAACTACTTTCATGTTTTTTAATATTTTTAATATTTTATTTTATTTTTAGAAAGTTTAAGAATCCAATTTTTAAAGTTTAATTTACGTTTTTTCATTTTTTGAGAAAGTTTGTATGTTTTACTTTTTTATGATTTTATATTTTATATATTTTCCTTTATTCGTTATTTTTTTAAATTTCATTCTGTAAATTATGGAGTACATAATGCTATTAAAAAATAATTTTACAAAACTTGTCATTTCACATTTATTTTTCAATTATTTTAATTTTTTTACATTTCTGTACCCTTCTACAATTTTTTCTATAAAAAAACAAAATCATGTAAACCTGCGAGCTATTTTCAAAAAGAAAAAGCACTAAACACGGGTGATCAGTTTATGTGCCGTGCGGAGTAATATTAAAGTGGGATCTCCACGTGCGCTTCACGTGTGTTTTCTTTGAATTCCAGAATGGGTATACGGTATACCGCATACGGACGCATGGTTCATTGGTGAAACGAAAAAGTTAAGTAATCTAATTTTGAAAGAAAAATAAAAAAGTGATAAACGTGATATTACTTCACCTTTTGAGTCTATTTGTGATATTTTTCCTTTTTTTTTCCTTTTCGGGTTGGGCTGGGTATTTTGGGCCATTTGGGGTGGTTTGGGGGGTTGGGGGTACGGGGGGTGTTAATTAGGAAAAGGAAAAAAAATTGACCCGAGGCCCGGCCCGGCCCAGACCGGCTTGGCCCGGACCCGGAACCGGCCCAGACCCGGTGGCTACCCGGTCCGGTCCCGGGCCCACCTATTCAGAAGCGGCGGCCCGGACCCAACCCGGCCCGAATCCAGCCCTATGTATAGGCAAGGTGTTAATTAGTTTTCATTCTTTTCAATCTTACAATATTTCATCCATTAGGGTTTTCATTCGTACTTCACACATTCTTAAATAATGGTAACATATTAACTTTATATTATTCACATACTCTACAATATTTACATTTTATTTATTAATTTAGAACAAATTATATTATATAAAATATTATAAAATTGATCTCAAAGTAAAGTTTCAAAGGAAGTTTGTTTTACAAACCGCCAATTAATTGTATTAGGATTTTTTGTGTATTTTACTATCGTCCATCTCTTGTCTGATCTGATCTGATGTGACGCTGAAATCAATCCAATTGGAAACTTTCTTAATGGTCGAAGGTGTGTATGGAAGAATGTGCATACATAGTGTTGCAACTAAGTAATAATATAGGTGGTAATTATTATTGATTTTTGGTGACTTCGAATGAAGTGTTATGCTCTCAGTAAGGCTTTAAGCATGCCATTGTAGTATTGTACTAATTCAGCGTTCTCACATTTGTAATAGCATTGTTGGTTATTTTTGATTTACCTATGTCTAATAAATAGATCATTTCGTAAATAAAGCATATAACTTTTCAAACTCAAACTTGAAATTTAAAAAGAAATATATAGATGGGACTGGACCGCATCTAAAACCGGGATCCCCCCAGGACTGGCAGTCTAATATCGGAACCGACCCGGTACCAGACCAGGTCCATGCTTATGCAGTACGAGAATAGGTGAGAAATGTCAAGGACAACAAGAGGGATTATGGGTGTTTTATCTTTTCAGATTTAGGTCTCTTTTTTGTCAATTTTTTAAAAGGAGCCCTATTTTTGTGTAATGTAAGTCTGGTTATTTTTTCCAGTATTCATTTTTTATTCACAACTTTTTCAATTATCATAAATGTAATTGGTTATATTATATAAAGGTTATATATATAAAGGGCGTAATTGGTGCATTTAAAGATTATTGATTTTTTTCAAACAAATCATATACACTTCTTCCGTTCCATTAAGAATGTCTCATTTTTCCTTTTCGATCCGTCCCACTAAAGCTGTCTCATATCAATTTGGGCAAAATTCTAAGAGTTCTAAATCATTCTTACTTTATCAATTCAATATCAACCGCATAAACCGAGTTTTCTTAATAGTTGCACCTCCTCATGTCCCAATGTTAGTGAGACGGAGGTAATAGTATTTTTCATTTGTTTTTCTTATGACTAGTATTGTACCCGTGCGATGCATGGGAAAAATTATTTTGCATATTAAAAAGCAAATCTGTTGACCTATTAATTACATTTATCATAACTATACATATAGACATAATAGTAATCTTGTTAACATCAAGGTACATTTCTTATTTTAAGGGGAATTCTGACCTGCACGAGTAGCTCAGTTGATCGAGTGGTGGGAAATTTGGATCAAGGAAGGGGAATTCTATATACACCCACGTATTTTCTATGTAAAGCCCCCAATATAAATAAATAAATATAAATAATTTAAAGTTTCAGTTTTACCACTGATCGATGTAAAGCCCCCGTTTCTAAAAACCCAACCAAAGAGGAACACGAAAGACGGAGCAAGCCAAGATTCATCTTCCAAAACCATATGAGTCATGTAGTAGAAATAAGTCAAATATAGTTTCTGGAATCTACATTAGCTGACTTTGGTTTTCCTCCTTCAATCAACTGATTATGAACTCTTTAAAAGCAATGCAGATTAGTATAGTCTGGAATGGACAGGTTTTAGAGGAAATTCAGCCTCAGAGGATTAAGACAAGGGGATCCCATTTCCCCTTATCTTTTTATACTGGCCATGGAATGTTTATCATGTAGGAAATATGATGAAATAATTAATTACATAATATATGAATTGGAGGTGGGTTATTATACATTAGTGAACAACTTACATGTTTGGATTGATTTCATTTAATGACAAGAATCCATAGTTGTAATAGTTGTAAAAGTGATGTATTGAATTGATGAATTTATTGTCCAATATTTAAAATAAATGACACTTTTATATGATAAGGAATAATGTTCAAGTATCATATAATGTGACTTGATGAGACCAAACACCTGGTGTGCTAGTATACACATACCTCAAGTCAATAGCCGGTCATTCATTTTTTGGGACAAAATTCTGGAATGATCTTTAATAAAATTAAAGCCTACGAAAGTTAAATTGCGTTAAGTAATATTGCTTGTTGACTAAGTTGTAATATGAAAGTGCACTTTGAATTTAAAAATTTGAATTTAAAAGTGCTAAGTCATACTTAGTTGGTTTTGATCTGATTAGCTCGGCTCGTGGCAATATTATAGGGCCAATTAAACTTTGTGACCCATACTCAATCCATATAATCTTATTTCCAAGTACATACATCCCACTGCACGTTCGTAGTATTCGTTTTTAATATACCGAAGCACTCCATCATTCTTGCTCTTTGAGAATACCACTTACACACATTCATACTAGGTCGGATATTCCTTGGAATTCCCGTTAGTGGAGTTATTCCAAATTCTTTGATTATTATTGAGAAGCGATACTGATATTTCATATCGAGTATATCTATACGAATTATACTCTTCTCCTATTGTGGGCTCTTCTCTAGTCAACGGCAAATCGGGCAACGGTCGAAGTGTTTCTGTCAAGCAAGCTAGAGGACTGAAACAGAGGTAGGATTATCCTGGGAGCGAGTTGGCCAGTCCCGTTCGAGTAGCTATCGAGATACGGGGGCTATCTTTCTTCAAAGCCAGTACGGTTAACGGGCGATCTTACGCTAAGTCATTCTTTCTCTATCTTTTATATTAATATTTCGTATCTAATTATTGTTGTTATTTTATTCGTTCTTGCATTTGGTGGTTTGTCTGGTGATTTGTGATTAAACTCGGGATTTTATCTGCCTAAACTCGCCATTTAAATACTATTTCTCTAACATATCACACCTAATTAATAAAGATGTGGAGGCTAAGAGGTTGAAACCGATTAAGGTGGGACGACCAGGAATTGCAGTCTCTCATATTTTCTTCGCAGATGATCTTTTACTCTTTAGTGAGGCATCACACACTAACTTAAGGGTTTTGATGAACACGGTTGAGGTTTTTTCTTTATGGTCAGGGTTGATGATCAATAAAGACAAGTCCTGTGTTTATTTTTCACCTAATATTGATGGCAGTAGTCGCTGTAATCTGCAAGATACGACGGGAATAAAGGCAACACGTGATATCGGAAAGTATTTGGGAGCTCCCATTTTGCATGGGCAGAAAAGTAAGAGTAAATATTATTTTATTCTTGATCGGGTGAGAAGGAAATTATCCTCTTGGAAAGAGAAGTCTCTGAGCTTGGCAGGTCAGAAGACACTTATACAATCTGTGACTAGCTCCATATCTCAATATGTTATGCAAAGTGTCTTACTCCCATTAAGCATCTGCGATAACATTGATAAACTTAATCAGGAGTTCCTTTGGGGAAGCTTGGGGGGAGTGCATCTTGTTAGTTGGGAGGAAGTTTGTCAGCCAAAAGAGTTTGGTGGCCTAGGTCTTCGTAAGACTCGGGATTTCAATCGGGTTTTCTTAGCTAAATTGGGCTGGGAGATTATTACAGATGCTCCTAAACTTTGGGTGAAAGTTATGAAGGCTAAATATTTAAAAAATTCTTCTTTCTGCGAAGTGGAGAGGAAAATAGGTTCTTCTCATGTTTGGAGGGATATAATTAGCAGCAAGGATATTATCCAACGTGGGCTATGGTGGCAGGTGGGGTCTGGGGAGAACATTATATTTCGTTTTGGTTTGATCATTGGTTGAAAGATAAATTGCTTTGTGATGTTTTGGGTTCGCCTCTTGCGGATTCTGCGCGATTTGTTAAAGTGGCTGATTTTATTACTTCGAACAAAGAGTGGAATGTAGGTAAATTGGAGGAGATGCTGCCCAAGGATGTTGTGGATAACGTGAGGGCAGTCCCATTATCTATGGAGGAAGATATACAGGATGGAGTATTCTGGAGGCTTTCAGGTACGGGCGAGATTACTATTAAATCTGCTTACGAGGCCTGTTTTTTTATGCAGATGGAGGACAACATGAACTGGATCTGGAATATTAGTGTTCCAGAAAAGGTACGATGCTTCCTGTGGCTGATCAGGAAGAACAAAATACTGACTAATATTGAGAGAGTGAGACGACATCTCTCAGATGATCATATATGTCATATCTGCAATGATGAAGATGAAACTGTTCTTCATATGGTTCGTGATTGTACTTTTGCTGCTTTATGTTGGAAGAACGCTGCACTGGGGTTGGCTAGAACTGGAGACAACAGTTTTAATTCTTTGGAATGGCTTCGTAGTCACTGTCAAGAGAAGAGAGACAACACTGGAAGGATTCCTCACGCCTCTATATTTGCTTATATCATCTGGTTTATTTGGAAGTCTCGTAATGCATGGATTTTTGAAGGCGTTCCTCTGAATGCTGAACGAGTGGTTCGGAATGCGTATGCACAGGCAGAGGAGTATAATGTGTTTACTTCTACGCAAGACATCAAGCAGTTAAAGGTCCCTAAACGTATTAAATGGCTTCCTCATTGTTTCAAACTTAATTGTGATGATTCAAGTTGGGGTTCGGGAAGAGAGGCAGGGGCAGGCGGAGTGATTAGGAATCACAAAGGAGAGTGGATCCTTAGATTTACTATTAATATCGGAAAAGCGGATAACTTTAATGTAGAACTTCGGGGTTTACGCCAGGGCTTGCTGCTTGCTCGTGAACTGGACTTGAAGCGGGTCATAGTAGAGATTGATTCAGAAGGTGTATTAAGGCAATCAAGAACATACACAACAAACATGGTGCTCCCATTGGAGTCTTAGTTCGTGATTGTCAAATCTTACTTGAAGACAGGCGATTTCTCCAAATCAAGCACATATTTCGAGAAGGCAACAAATGTGCTGATAGACTTGCGAATGCAGCACACGAAGCTCCGAAGGGTCTTACAGTGTTACACTCCGCACCAGCTTGGGTCATCCAAACTCTTTGGGAGGATGCTAATGGGCTCGAGTCTCTTAGAGTTTAATTAATTTTGTTTGTGCTTTCCTTTTTCTTTTTTATTTTGTTCCGATGTATCAAAACAAAAAATAAGTCAAATAAAATAACATGATGTTTAAAATGACAAACGATTGAGCTAAAAGATTATGTTTGCAAACACAATTTAGGCCTCAGGATATAAGTAAATGAAAGGCCCGGACATTCTCCAAGCATATAGAAGAAACTAACCTAAAGTCTAATTCAACAATAGAGATCATGGATTCGACTCTTCCACCTCCAACCTTGACATGAACGGCTCCTTGCTAGGCTTGGACCCGGTTCGGACCACCCGGCCCGGGAACCGGTCCGGCCTGACACTGTTTGGGCCCATCCCGGCCCGGGAACCGATACCGGGTCTAGGCCCGGTTAGAAGGGGAAACCGGGGGCGGGTACGGGCTGAAGGAATTGGGCCGGTTCCGGGCCCGGTTCGGGCCTTTTCAATTTTTTTTTTGTTTTTTTTTTGTTTGGGCCTTTGGGCTGGGTTTAAATGGCTGGAATGGGTTTTCAGATGGGTTTGTAGGATGGGGGGTACGGGATAAAATAATCAAGAAAACCAATATATATATATATATATATATATATATATATATATATATATATATATATATATATATATATATATATATATATATATAGTGCTATTCCTGTCCGGAATTTCCGGACAGGAGCCCCGTCCGGCCTCCTTCATTTGGGTGCCTTCCCGGTGGTATTGTTTGCTCAAATGTTTTGTGTATGTTCCTCATCAAGTCTAGTTCATCCATACCACATTTGAGCAAAAATATTCAATCGGGAAGGTCGTCAAATCACTTTTGCAAGTTAACTGGTCCGGAAAATACACATATTCTGGACCAATTAACTTGCAAAAATCATTTGACGACCTTCCCGGTTGAATTTTTTGCTGAAATTTGGTATGGTTGAACTAGACTTGATGATAAACATACACAAAAAATATGAGCAAAAAATACCACTGGGAAGGCCCCCAAATGGAGGAGGCCGTACGGGGCTCCGGTCAGGAATTTCCTGACCGGAATATTTGTGTGTGCAAAACAAATTGTGTTTTGCAAAGTCAACATTTTTCGGTCAACCAATAATAAAAGTCAACTCTCTCTATGAATACTTAATTCAATTTTCAATAATTAAAATTTATATATTCAAAAACTACATTAAAATCTCTTCAAAGTTGTAAACTCTAGATTAGAATATAATTAAAAATTGACATCCTAATTAAGTGAACAAAACGAGACTGTTTGACTAAGAAAAGTCAAATTTGCAACTCTTTTTGGGACGGAGGTAGTATATATGTATATGTATGTGTGTGTGTGTGTGTGTGTGTGTGTGTGTGTGTGTGTGTGTATATATATAGGGGTTAGTTCATGTGAGAACACCCTCTTAGGAGAGCAAAAAAGAACAAAATATAACCATTGATATGATTGATCTAATGGACATAAATAAAGATGATCATAATTTATCAGCCTCACTATTCGGCTAATTTAGTGGATTCGGAAGGGAAAGCCTAATATTAATTGATATTGAGGGTATGATTGTCTAATCATATTCAAAACCGTTTTGCACGTTGGTGTATATTGGCTCTTTCCTATTATTTAGCAAATCAATTACCATGTAATGATTGTGACCATTTATTGCTTTAAAAAGTTTTTCAAATACTTTTTAAAACTTAGTAGTCCACGTATCTCAACATTAAATGCTTTTAATGTTTGGTTTTCAAATTACGAATTTTTAGAAATTATTATTGAACAAAAATGCAGTCAAAATAGATATAAATGAAATGTTTATTTTGCACTTTAAATATCTTTTGCATTAGATGAAATGTTTAATTTGCACTTTTTATAAAATTAACATGCACTATAACCGCGCAGTTGTGCACATCTATACAAGATTTAAATAAAAATTAATATAAATATATAATCGTGTTTGAAGAACTTTGCACTATTAGTAGTTTACATTAGTGAATCCATTCTTTAATTTAATGAATATAAAGTAAATAAAATGTTAATTACGTTATTTTGCACAATTATAAATTGCATTTCTCTATGATTTCCTTACGTTTTCTATAACATTTACTGTTTATCCATGTACTCGCACATTTCCAAACATATTTTAAATAAAAATGCCTTTAATTAAAAATAAAATGAATATAAATATACAAGGGTGGAAACCAAACAACTATCTTGTGCATTTTAATGTACACAAACGTGCACTATTATATCGCACTTTCTAAAGTTTTACATATATATGCCATGTTCTTATAAAATGAAATGCACTTTTACAATGTGCATCTGATTTACATAAAAGTGCACTACTATATAACACTTTCTACATTCTGACATTGCTAATTTTTAAGATTTCAATGCACTTTTTCTTTCAAAAGATCATAATTATTCCATTCACACCGCATCGTATCTGCAAAAAAAACAAAAATAAAATACGAAGTGCATAACCAAGGTATGGGAAGTGCAAAAATAAACATATATAGTTGCATCAAATGATAGAAGGAATAAAGTTTAATTACTCAATGCAAAAAAGTAACCATTAAAAAGTGCAACAAATACCAAACGCACAACATTGAAACATACCTACATGTGCATTAGTATGTCAGTGAAGTAACAACATACTCATAGGAAAAAACACAACCATAACCCCAAATATAAATGTATATAACAAGAAAATATAAAAAAACAAATCCAAAAGTCAAACTATTTATGATTGTGCATCTATTAATCTATGTTAGTGCAGTTGTATGTGATCGATTTAAGTTACATCGTGACATCGAATTAAATAAAATTATACACACAAAAGCAGAGCATAACAAACCAAAAAAAAATGAATTCAAAATCAATAATTAAATGTCAGAAGTACAATTTCAGAAACATAAGCACGTTCGTCAACTTTTACCGGATAAAAAAAGCATGTTCGTCAACTAGTTTTTATAATGGTGAAGAAATAAAGGTTGTTTGGTTTTTGTAATGGTGAAAAAGAAAAAAAGGTGATAGAGATACGAGAAAGAAGTTGAGAGAGTCATTATGTGCTAAAAGTTAGGAAAGTGGTTAATTTAGGATACCACGGAGAATGGTAAGAATTTTGAGATTACATCTTTAGCCTTACACGAAATAAGTAAATAATGTTTTTAATATTGCAATCCAACGGTTAAGATCTATTCTTTTTTCCTCTCCTAAGATTAAGTTCTCACATGAACCTAAATCTATATATATATATATATATATATAGGAATATTCCTATCCGGAGTTTCCGGACAGGAGCCCCGTCCGGCCTCCTCCATTTGGGGGCCTTCCCGGTGGTATTGTTTGTTCAATTTTTTTTGTGTATGTTCCACATCAAGTCTAGTTCATCCATACCAAATTTCAGCAAAAAATTCAATCGGGAAGGTCGTAAAATGGTTTTTGCAAGTTAACTGGTCCGGAATATGTATTTTCCGGACCAGTTAACTTGCAAAAATCATTTGACGACCTTCCCGATTGAATATTTTGCTGAAATTTGGTATGGATAAACTAGACTTGATGAGGAACATACCCAAAAAAATTTGAGCAAAAAAAAACCACCGGGAAGGCCCCCAAAAGGAGGAGGCTGGACGGCACTCCGGTCAGGAAATTCCTGACCGGAAGATTACTCTCTCTCTCTCTATATATATATAACCGGACCCGACCCGGTCCGGCTCGGACCCGGACCGGCACCGGTCAACTACCGGGCCGGTCCCGGGCTTCAGTGAATTTTTTTTTTAGCCCGACCCGGAACCGGGCCCGGTTGAGTCCAAGCCTACTCCTTGCTTTTCTGTCATTTTTTAGAGTGCCATGCTCCCATGTGATTGCCAAGTTCTTTGGTGTGTTAATTTAGCACTTTGATGCAGTTAAACATCTACTACGTATGATGTAGAGGAATCACTGTAGCAGAAATTTATTAAAAGTGGAATAGAATGCGGAGCAACCAAACACATGAAGAAAAAGCATAAACAATTACGGTGATCAATATATGTATAAAGAGCAGGAGAGGCTTTTTGCCTTTTTGTACTGGGGGGCAGAGAACGTTTCCAATAACTTGTATAGTGGAAGTTGTTGATGAAAGCTTCAGAATGTGGAACAGTTAGTTGTATTTGAGCTCAGAAAAAGATTTAGAAAATTAGTGCAAACCGTCATTTAAGGTAACCACTAATACGTGCCAGTTATAAAAGTAAACCATGTAACTATACTGTTGATAAAGGTAATATGTTGATCAACATAATTGAACACCAGGATATTGCCACTACTGGATGACATCTACTAATAGTAGTATATTCCAAGCATGAGAATCAAAATACGTGTAGTGGTGTGCTATGTAGTTTATCGCGATAGCCTCTGTACGTGTGCAACAAAATTTCAAGCGGGAACAGTTAGTGGTGGACCCGATTCGGGCCGCCCGGCCCGGTTCTCGGGTCCGGGTCCGGTTCGGGCACCGAACCGGTGGGGGTGGCAGGTCCGGGCTCGGGTGTTGTTTTTGGCGGCCCAGCCCGGCCCGGCCGGGTCGGGCCCGGGCCTAACGGTCCAATTTTTTTAATTTTTTTTTCCTTTTAATTTAAAAAACCCTTTTGGGCTCTTGACCCACTTCCCAAACGGCTATATAGCCGTTGGGTGGGTACCAGGGGGGTCCGGGGCCTTTGGGGTGGTGGGGGGGGTGGGGGTTAAAAAAAACCTATAAATACTCCTAATTTTAAACATTTTTTCACACCTCTTCTCCAACTCTCCCTAAATCCTACTCTCTACTCATCTCCATATTCATCTTCTCAAATTCTCTATTTTTTTTTTTGAAAATGAAAAACTTTATTAAAAAGAAGAAGAGTACAAAACGCTAATGAACATGGGTACAAGCCCAAAGCTAAAGTAAAGAAACAAGCTCTAGTGAACAAAGAAACCAACACCAAAGCACCACCCTGCAGATGAAATGAGAAGCCAAAACAGAACATCCACCGACCACCAATAAGGTGTCCCTAAATATCACGTTTTCGCAAACAGAACCCCAAGAAGAACCAAGAAACCCAACAAACATCTAGAAATCAACCCTACTTCTTCTCAGTAAACTTTTTTTCCTTTTTTTCCTTAAGGCGAGTACTCCTTCTAGGAACCAGTATAGAACTAGATGAACTCCACTTGGGATCCGCAATAGAGTAATTGGGATCTGCCATACGGTCTAGCAGTTCACGGTCTGTAAGAAGCCTTCTTATAGGTGTTGTTTCTAATTCCTCTCCCAACCCCCTCGAAATTGAAGGAAAGGATACCTGAAGGGGTGTTACTTCTTGAATATCCTCCATCTGAACATCTATCTTCCAAGATTCCATCTGTAGCCCCCCTTGAGAAATCGTTTCTAAGACCTTTTCGACTTTATCTTCTTTCTCCTCTATTTCCACCAAAACACTATGCATATTCCCTTTTCCTTCTTTAATGTCTTCAAGTTCACTATCCTTGTCGTTAACTACAATATCCCCTGGAGTTGTGACTATACTCTCAGGCACCAAAACAACCTCCCTCAAAG